AAGACTTCCTAACAGACTACCTCGACAGTCACCCATGTGTTGACTGTTTTCTTTCATTTTGTCCTAATTTCACGTGACCGATTTTGTCGAATTCACCCGAGGTTTTGATTTCGACACATTGCCCGACTGTTTTCTTCAGACCGTCTGCGACAGGTGCAATGGATGAGTTTAAACTAACCTGAAATATTTTGTTTCATGAGAGAAACAGAGGATTTAAATAACTTTCAAATGGGGTCTCGTCGTGTATGAAGCAAATGAAGCGTGTACTGAAAAGCTAGGAAACACTGGACAGCTGTTTCGACCTGGTTGGGTCTCATCGGCACTGCAAATCCGTCGACCCAACTGGGGATCGAACCCGGGACTTCATGGGCAGAGCACAAGCATGCTACCCACTACGCCACCGGGCAGCTGATCAGACTGTTCTTCATTTTACATTTACACAATATAGCACAACCCATCTTTTCGAGGTTGCTGCGGGTCACAGAACCTGATTATCTCAGTGCTATTTCGTGTAAACGTAAAATGAAGAACGGTCTGATCAGCTGCCTGGTGCCTTAGTGGGTAGCATGCTTACGTTCTACCCAGGAAGTCCCGGGTTCCATCCCCAGTTGGGCCGATGAATTCGCACTGCCAGTGAGACCCAGCCAGGTTGAAACAGTCTATGGCTTCCTAGCTTTTCAGTCCACGCTTTATTTGCTACATACACGAAGAATTCCCATTTGAAATATTTTGTTGTGCTTTACATTCTTATATCACCGTACCCTGTTTCGTGACCCATCTTCTTTCAGATTTATTTCTCCATTTCGTCAGTGGCCTTTGCACACGCAAATAAGTTCTTCTCATTTAACACTGTTCCAATTTCTTCAAAACAAGTTGTTTTTTACCTGCTCAAGCTTGATCGTGAAAAATTCTGCAATTCCCATTCACTTCAGGTTTGACTAGTCAAAATGCAAAACTTGCTGGCATTTCTGGTTTATTTCTTATGAATTGAAAATCATTTGTGTTTTCCATTTTTCTCTTCATCTCGTATATAGACTCACTCTACCCATCCATCATCCGGTGGAATGTTGCGTTCACCTCAGCCGAGTTTAGATCGAGCACCGATGAGCAGACTGGACGCCGCACATCAGGAACAAAATGTCACTGTTATGCACTGTTCCTATCCAGGTACCGCATACAACACACGTAACAACACCCTGGTCACACCTCGAACCCCCATGGGGAATGTTACCAACCCACCTGTTGGGGAATCCGCCATCAATTACGCCCCAACGGAGGGAACGTTGTCAATCAGTTCGGCGGATTCTTTGAGCGAAGGATCATCACGATTCGTTTTTCCCTATAGTTGCAGTTCATTACCATCGGCCGCGGCCAGCATACAACCCATCAACATGCCCACAAATCCTCATCGTCCCATGATGGGTACGATCACTGGACGCTCGATAATGCCCGAGCAACATACGTATAGCCACTTTGTTCCAACATCCCCGGGCGTCTCCTCTGGGGACTTTCGTTCTCCACATCCCGTTTTTCATTCTCCGCATCCAGTAGGTCACACTAGAGGCATGGCATACCGGCCAGTGGAACATTTCGAACGTCGAAGGGAGATCAGTCACGATCCCTTGGCACAATGGCTTTATTCGATCGGACTGAGTCGGTAAGCATGGTGGCTTGGTGAGAAGCAAAACCAATGAAAAACAGTTATGATTTATACAATTTAAAATCTAAAAAAAAACGAAAATAAGTCAAACAAGTTTAAGCAATGGGAACTCAAACTTTTCTGTTCTCTCTCTCTCTGGCTACAAAATTCTCGAATCTTTTATTGTATCCCGCACACATTTGGATTGAAATAATTTCCTGGTGAATTCAAAGAGCCTCGGATCTCACAATTGAGATTTGGATTTATGCGTGTTTGCGCTCATTGCACTCATCTGTAGTGCATTGCACAAACGTGGACAAACGAGGAAAAATATGGCCCAATGTGATGGAATATAACAGTCTGTAGCCCCAAATGCGTCGGTGGCAACACAATAGATTATTCATTTAAACCGTTGAAACACCGCCGCCTTCCTAATGATGGTCATAAAACGGACGACATTACTAATACTACTACTGTGGGGTACTACTCGCATTAGTGAGTAGCGTCTTTGGTAAGCTCACATAAGGCAATTAGTTTATTTTCACGGCATCTGGGAGTGGGTCAAAGAATTGTCAAGCTAATGATCACCGACAAAAGGACTTCAATGAAACTGCCAACCAAGTGCTGCACATTAGATATTTCGTTCTGTTTATTGTTCTCTCCCCTTATGCGCGCTGTTCTTCCAATGAATAACGCTGCGCCGTCCGACAATGAATCTTGTAAGTATAACACTATTAATAATAATAATAATAATAATAATAATAATAATAATAATGAAAACAAAATTGATAATCTTTCAAACCCCACTTCATAAAAGATGAAGCTTGTCTGGTATGGTAATGCTTCACAGAATTATTCAACCATAAAATGCACTATCAAAACATACCACACTGTGAATGTACCAGTGTAATTCAACTTATGTGAGAGAATTTATCCAGATTGTCTCCTTATTTTTCCTTTCAGCACATCTCTACACAAGTGGAAACAATTTTTTTGAATTCGATCTCATGCGTATTTTGTAGGCGCAGTTTAGACCTTTTGAAGTTCAAAAAGAAACAAAATGATTCACCGTGGGAGAACAATTTTCAGTTTTCTTGATTTTTAACCATCAATCAGTATTCGAATAAAGAAGCCAAAAACACAGGTTAGCATAGTGTATCCTGGATCATTTCGCTGCATCTGTACACGTGCATATTGCAGTCCATGTGATCAAAAATATATGGTCAGTAAATAACAGAATTACAGGGAAACTATGGTTCCAATCAACCAGTATGCACGAGTACAAACAGCAACCATTGAGTACACCATCCGAACGAGTATGTCAGCGAATGGAAGAAAAAACAAAAGCGTACGCGTACGTTTCTGTGTTTGTTCAAATAGCAATCATTTAGCCCGCTCTCTGTGACAAGAAATCAATAGATGAATCAATAAACTCGTGAGACTGGGTAGGTTTCGCGGTTAGGAGCAATTACCATATGATTTACTATTCGCCAACAATGAAAAGCAGCGAAGCTGCATCTGTTTATCGTCTCACTTTTTTCCGCATTTACCATTTGGCCTTCGAGACAACAAAGTGGAACAGACAAATCAGTCAATGCAGCAGTGGCATGGCGGTGGCGGGGGCGAATGGGTGCCTTTTGCATATATAGATGCCAGCGAGTTGATTGTTGGGGTGTATGCATGATGGTTATGATGCTGATAGTGGTGGTTGTGGTGGTGAGGGTATTCCACAAAAGACTGATATTGTTCACGCGAAATAATCCCCTTGGTGTTTTACTGCATCTCTTCTCGCGTAAGAGAAAAAAAATGAGGCAAACCTTGCGCATTTGGCTGATTTCTTTCCCTAAACAACGTGGCCAGACTCTGTTAATGAATGAAGATAAAAACGGAAAAAGTAGCGATAAGCGATTACACTCGCAAAACCACAAATTACTGATGGCTTTTGATCCGATCAATTCAACAGTTGCCCGCGTTCATTTTCATTGGTTGATTTCCACGAAACTGTTCATCCAATTAAATGGTTCTTACATTTAGGCAGTATTAAAGGGTTTCAGGTGAACAGACTAAGGAAAGTTTGTACTAGTGATTAGATTTGGACAAACTTTTGTTGAAAACTACCGAAGTTATACTATTTATATGTCTGACAACTGTTTGGTTGCATAGAATTTCAACCGAATCGCTTGAGTCCAAATTGTATATCACTATTTACATTTGTACACAGCAAACAAGAATTGTAACCGAATTTATTTGCAGACAAAACTATACACACGGGACACAATGGAAAGTATGCCCATGACGTAACCCAGCATGGAGTCTAATGTGAGGAAAAGATAACCCGAATGAAATTTCGGTAAATCCCCGGCACGGTCATTTAGTCTCCGAAAGGCAAACGTACATATGTGGCCAGGAATATATAGAAGGATTCAGGCAATAATAAGTACCATATTACCCAATGCAAAATAGAATAGCACGCAATCCGACCTGCGCGCTCTTGACGAAGCAATATGAACAACAATTTTCGAGCAAATAAATTTCAAGCTGATGGAAGAATAAATCACAGTGACGTTTAACCTTCTGCGATGTATTCACCCACGCAAAAGACTGACATGATGAAAAACACAATGTTGATAGTAACTAACCTACTGAACTCATGTAGACATCATATCGTTTTCTAATTTTTTCCACTACTTAACCCGAAGTCGTAACGGATTGATCTCATCTGCTAAAAAGGGGTCTTGAAAAAAATGGCACAAAAATTGTCTATACAATTAACAAATAATCCAATTTGTAGGCTTTCTGCAGTATTATGGAGACTATTGGGGCTCATTCTTATCTCAATTTATTTATTGAATAGAATGCATCATGATAGAACAGACTCAGTAGGTGGGCGATTTCCTCTCCTGGAAAATTTGTTCACTGAATCCAACTTATGAAGTGATAAGTTTCACACACAGGTGGGCTCTGATTAATGATGAATTGTCCCTATCAGGTGCCCAACCATCAAGTTGGCAATAACTACAAACATGAGTTTTCACTAGGACGTCGCGGGTTTTCCAGCCTCAATGAATGTAACACACTGGATACATTCTTCAAATAGCTGTAATGTACTGATCGATTGTTGATTTCCCGCTACTGTTATCTTAATGACAATAACTGACCTATTCGTGAGATAAACTATCACTTCCTTCAACCAATTGTTGCTGTTAATCCTGTCTCTTATTTTCTTTTCATTTTACTTCCTTTCATTGAATATACAAAGATACAATTTTCAGGAAGAAGAAGCGACTAATCAAAGGGCTGCTATGCAAAATACAATGGGGGAAGACAGGCGGTGGTGGTAGGATTCGAATACATCCCCGGGTGATAATTTGATGACGTTATCACCTGGTCACCACCGTCCAACTCAAGCCACCTGACTCCCAGGCTGGTAGACGACGGCATTACCATGTTCTTATTACTAAATTGCAGCCTTATTCATTCGTTCTCAACCTAAATTTCCCAACCAAAAACAAATGTCTCCAAGTGAGAAGGTAAGGTGCTTGGCAGATACCTGAGACACGAGTTTATCCACCTTATTCGAAAAAAATTACGCTGTGACTTGCCCTCTGGTATGTGAAACGGAGAGCGAATGATGCAATTAAAACCTGAATGTCTCTAGGATATCCTGAACGCAAACTAAGTTCCAGGAAGCTCGACAACAGATCAACCAGTCCCATTATTACACGATCACCTTTATTGATATCTTCATCTGGATCGTGGCGGTGTTAACCAAGCTCTCATCAGCAAGTTCTTCTGGTCAGCTGAGACTTCTTAGGCAAATTGTGTTTCGTTAACATAAACCGATCGACTTCCAAAACGAACCACCCGCCTCCGGGTTCTTTGATCAGAAAAACCGGTTAGCTACCGTCCAGCGGAAACGATTCACACATTATGTTGTTCTTGACGTTGTTGCTGTCCTGCTCATTGATCAGCTTGTAAATAATCAAGGAGCTTCCGCAAAATTTAGCTCTGCACAAAATTGATGTTAGTAGATGAATTTATCACTTGAAACACAGTTCACTTGTGAGCAGCAACAACTGAACGATTTAATCAGGCTGTCGAATATCATCACTTTTCGATCAGATTTGGAATATCGTTTTTGTGTTTTATTTCCCACTCTCTTCAGCCTGGAAGAAACTCTGTCATCAGCCGGTTTTGATTTGTGGACATTGTGCCGCACAACTCCGGAGGAACTGAACGCATGTGGCGTCACCAATCCAGCTGATCGGCAAGTGCTACGCATGGAGCTGAACCGCTTGCAATTGCCCGACCTGATCCCTGATCAATTGCCGGTTAGTAGTGGGCTTTTGTTTTGTCATACCCTTTCAACAAACTACTTACCTTCTCATCAGTCTCTGTTTAACCTACTTTACAGGTCGATTTGGAATAACTAATTCAAAGCTTGAGTAAGACCAAACACTTTTTCTAGTCAGCCAATCTGGTGCTTTGAACAAAAGTCCAGGTTAAACTAACCCAAATAGTGACACACACCACGCTTAAAAATAGCCTAACTGACATACATCTCATTGACAACTGAGTGTTTTGTCGAAAAAACAGTTGAGGAAAGCACCATCTTCGTAGCTAGGTCAAACCTTTCATTCCTCAAAACAATGCTAGAAAAAGAAGGAAGTTTGCACCATGTAAAATAATCTGTCAATCTCGGCATAATTAAATGACTGGGTTAACATATTTTGCTGTTCGAGCAAACCAGCCCACTGACAGTCGTTGATGGCAACACCTAAACAGAAGGGAATTATAAAAATCAATCATCCACAGTGTGAACTGGTACGCACAGTGTCAACTCACACACCCCGACCCTTGCCAGTGATCCTGATTTCAAACTCCATCAAAAAAATGGTAAATATTTTTTTTCACTTTAACTTCCTTTTATTGAGTACGTAACGGCACAGTTTTCAAAAAGAGAGAGGCAGGAAATCGACGGGCTGCCGTACAACACACAAAAATGGGGAACTTCAGGCGGTGGTGGTCGGATTCGAATATACATCCCCTGAGGTGATAATTTGGCGCCTTTAACACCGGGTCATGCACTTCCATGAAGCAAAGCGTTAAACTCGGGTATAGAGCAAACTGTAAATTGACGTGAATTGAACAAACTTAGTGTTGTGTGCCGCGAAGAACTCTTAAGCATAGTCGGCTTTTTGGTGTTCGTGATTTCTCCGAGCTGGAAGTGTTGTGTTCGTAGCCAAGCTAATCAACATCATCAGTCAGTCGTACTGATGATGGCTTCGAAACGTCTGCGAACAAAAACACTTCCAGCTCGGAGGACTTACCGACACCAAAATCCGCATTCCGAACTACAATCATTCCACACCGTAGTCATTTTTTATTAGTAACCACTTGTCTTTCACTGCTACTCAGTGTACGTTAAAGTGAGATAATCGAAAGCATATCTTTCGTTGAACGATCGAGAAGTGGATAATTATTTCAGACAGCTTAGGTATGACGTCGGTACAAACTTCCGTCCTAGCGGTCTTGGAGATACCAATGATACGCATTTCCAAAAAAACTGAAACATCTAGTTTGTACTTTCAAATATTTTCCCTAGTGTACATCACAGTATGACTGTACATGTTCCATTTTTTTGCCCGATGTTTTGTTGTGTTACACATGATCCATTTTGTATTATAAGTAGTTGACGTTAGATGTTTCTAATCTTACGTGATTTTCCGGTGAATATAAGTTAATATATGGCTTTTTTCTGTTGTGGTTGTTTTTCGGTTTGTCGAGGGTTGTAACCGTCGGACCGTTCCAATTATAAAACAATTTCAATCTGAAATGAACTAAATTTTCTTGGTGTAATCTGCAGTGTTCAATAATTGGGTCTTTCCCCCCCCCTCCGGCCATCACGTCTTGGCCGGTGACCAAGTGACCTCAATGAGTCCAACGGAGAAAAGCACTAGTTTGTGTTTGGATCGGTTAATAGATTGAATAAAATGCGCAGACGCAAATGTAAGCACTTGCCTTTTCACCCGAGGGCACAACCACGTCGTTCAGAATTCTGAGTAAGCAGTCTTTTATAAAGCTACATCAAAATGATTGGAACCTGAAACACTATAGGCGAAAGAGTAACCTCCGTCGTGCAATTTTATTATATCTTTTTAACTTAGATAAACATATACGATGTCAGGTGGTTCGAACTATGATAATTTAATGGACTGCTCAAATAACTTAGATCAATTACACTTTCATTGTGATCAGGAGTAGAGCGATTTCATGTCGTGGTTACGACAACAAACTTCTCAGACAAAAACAACTGGAAATCTAAGCTCCGGGTATTGGGGCATCAGGCTGAGTACTCAGAGTTTAGTTTTTGTGGTCCCTGACTCGATTTCCGCTGAATCGGTGGGTTCACTTTGTCGACACTATTTATCTCGGGTAAAAAATGGAAGAAAGCGCACTTCTTTAAGCGTGCACCTTGCCCATCACGCGCAAACAACCATCAGCGGGAATCTGCACTTTAATAATTTCAGAATAATGCATACGTTACCCTAGTTCACGCAGATTGTCTTGATAATTTCCTAAATGACATGGCGGAAGAGTAATTTATTATGTTCCATGAACGCAGGGAAAAGATAACATTGTGTGTTATAGGAATTAGTTTGAATTTTCAACTTTATGCGTCTGCATTCGACTTGTTCAATGTGAATGGCTCATAAAATGAAGACAAATGACGAAGAGACGAGACAGTCTTGATCCTTGCAGATATAAATTTGTCAAAAACTGATTCAGATTAGAAAAATGGTATCTCCTGAGAACGATTATTACATTTAAAGAACGTGAACTGTCAGACTCATAGTCATATAGAACCTTTGTTGTCAAACGGTGTGAGGGTAAGAAGTGTTTTACTTCATTTCAGTGGCAGAAAAGGTGTGCGATGGGTTTTGCAGTCCATTAGTCCTGAGACACATTCCCGGTTAACACTATTTGATTACGAATTCAGTTCCTTTCTGAAGCACAGGAGATACTTATTGTGGTACTGGTGAAACATCTGAAGGGTTGAAGAGACGAGGACGATTGTTACACACCGATGAATTTCCAGCTAAATATTGGTTTTGATATAATCCCATAATAGGATCCTGCTATGCAAACATATTCGGAGTTCGTGCAGCGCAGTTGAGTGAACACGAATACTCGACAGGTAACCCCACTGCAGGTATCCTGGATGTTGAACGTACAATGATTGATGGACCAGTGGGAGTAGGGGACGATGCGCGGCTCATGGGGGGGGGGGGNGAGATCTGAGATCACACACTGCAAGCTAAAGTAGACCTAAGATGGCATAATCTCTCCCTCACGGACACAAGATCAAATGCGTCCATTTTGTTCGCTACAAAAGATTTGGATGTCTTCACATGGGCATACTTAATCACATGGCAGATACAAAGTTCAGGAATTGAGCTCAATAGCAGGATTAATAGAATCTTTGGAGCAAAATACCTGAGCCGATCTATTTTTGCACCATTGGCTGTATCCCCATTGATATCAACGTATTTAGCCCAGCATCTAAACTCGATTGTGGTTTTCTCGACGAGCACCTGTGAACGTTGGCACGTTGGTACTTAGATCTCTGCGATAGATCAGAACTATGTAGTCAATAAGGCTATGACAAAGCGACTGAATTCCGGTTAAACCACAGGATGGATTATTCTTGACGCGCACAAGCAAAATTATTTATTATTTACCTAATCTTTACTTAAGCATGCAACTCTATCAAAGCCAAGGTTATTTTTGCCGGTTTTCCTTAGCATAAGACATCTGCTCGAGATTTCAACGGCTCTACCTTTTGCCTATTCTATTCACTCTAGCCTAGATAAACCATCTCGTTGTGCTTATCTCTCTGTCTTTGGTTTCTATTTTTGAACTGTTGCCGACATTACACGTAATGGTTAACAAGCTCAAATGAAACAGTGTGGTAACTTCCATTCGATAGAATTTTGACCGGAAGTAAAATCACGACAAACTGTCAGATTGAGAAGCTTTGCATAGGTTGACTGCAATATTCTGACATTCGACGCTTGCACTATTCGTTTGCAAGATTTGAACCATGTGATGCTTTCTTTTTGTGAAAAACTCCCTTCCCACTAATTAATTTTGGGGTAAATATTGTGTATTTTCATACGCTCTTGGTTGCCAGCCCACTTCATTTTTTTCTGTAACCAACACACTATCCTATGACTATGTATTTTCTGGCACCTGTCATGAGTCTCGAGAGTGCTCAACTGGTAAAGCTGAATATCGCATCAGTCCTGAGGTATTGTGTTCAAATCCTGCGCACTCAGTTACTTTCTTCGTATCTGGTTGTAACCTCCTTAAATACTGATTGTTCAATATTTCGTTCATTGGAGACGTCAAAACAGTTATCGTATAAAGGTCTGTTATTGTCCATTATTTGAGAGAATATTTTTTAGTCCATGAGCTAATTTCAAAGATTTGAAGTTCGGTGATACCTCAATGACACGAAGAGACTCTGGGGTTGAGCAGATAAGCAAGTACAACACGTATTTCTCACATGTTGTTCTCCGAGCAACACGAGACCTAATGATAGCAAACAAATGAAGACGATGATAACAGGGACGGAGCAAACGGCGAGGCAAACGGGGATCTCTGTGCCTGGGGGGGGGGGGATCCACGCAACTATCTACCAAGAAGTAACGAAGTGTGATAAATCCGAAAAGACCCAGTTGGATGCAAATGCTGAGATCTAAATGGCGCGCATTTACACGCAGCACAGTTCAACGTGATGGACTGAAAGTTCGAGGAATAGTTGGAAATTACTAGCTCAGGAATTGGAAAATTTGTTAAATATCTAAAATGATCAATCGTTTTGCACCAGGAGTAAGCTCTTCATGTAGGAGTCAAAATATATCGGCCAGTGCGAGCTGGAATAATGTGAATGACCAGTAATTTTCGCATGTGACGTCTGTGTGAATTTAGTTAGATCGACCAAACCGGGCGGAAACTTATGAGTGCTTTATTTGATCTTACGAATGAGTACTTCAAACAGAACAATCTCTGTATAATATACATGAAAACTGGTAACCAATTTTCGACACAGACAATATAAGGTGTACATTCTTTCGTTGATAAACGATTGTTTATTTCATCCCGTATCCGGTCGTTTACACGTTCTCATGTGTGTTGCATTCTGGTCTACTCCATTTCTGAAGGTCAAAGTCTACGATTGGCTGGCTCAGCTAAATTTGGCCGCGTATTGGCCGTTTTTCCGTGAACAAAAACTGTGTACTTTCGAACAGATTGCCAAACTAACTTGGGAGGATTTGGAAGAAGTGGGTATTTCTAAATTAGGTAAGTTCTGATCCAAGGAGCTTAGATTCAGGTGCGTTTCGCTCTTATCGAACTCGTGGAACTGGCGCTTTTCTACTTCTTGTTTGTGATCAGGGCATCAAAAGAAATTGCTCCTCGCTATCAACCGACTGACTCGTCAGATTGCCACAGCCAATAACAATCTCAATCGTATTCCTTCTCCGTACGTCCCAACGAGCATGGACAATGTTGGTGGATACTCAATCCATTCTAGTAACGTGCCCGGTTATTCCTCCTCGTTCGGTTCATCTGCCTCCATTTCCTCCCCGACGGGAATTCACAACACGGATTCCCTTTCCTCATTGGTGCCACCAATTGTACCAACCGCAGAGAACTCGAACCCAACCGGTTGTTTATCTATCTGCCCTCGTGAGTTGACCCTTTAGCAATGGAAGTTTTCCATTCAATGAAATTATATTTTTCCGGTGTTCACCTGAAAAGACTGGATATTTCTTAGATGGATAATTTAAGTCCACCGACAGAGATTGCTCAAAGACCTAGTTCGCTGTTTAACTTTCATAACCCATGTCCGAAGTTCTTTATTTTAACACACCTAGATGTGGTGAACAGCAGACGGGGCCCCATATTCACGAGGACCTGCTGTTCAGTGATCGAAATCGACAATCTAAGCCCCGGGACTTGGAGTGGCGAACCACATAAGGCCCCGATAGGTTAGGCATGGTATTGAACTGGACGACAGCAGAGCAGCCTTCCACCAGAGTCGGGTGGCGGTGGTGGGGCTTGAACCTCGGATCATAGGGTCCAAAGCACGCTTGCGACAGTGACTAAACCACTGCGCCACCACCAGGAAAAAGGCACAAAGGCACACATGTTCACTTTGTTGGATAAAAAATAGATAATGTGACAGATTTATTGTCCAGGGTATTCATTCGACAATGATTAGGAAACTTTATACGCGTCCAGTGCGTTCGGCTAAGCAATTCATTCTTCCCCTCCTGAAAAGCCTTCCGCAGGACAACTATTATGTTGAAGTGAACCATCAATCTTTGAATTGAACATGTGATGTTATGAATCATTTGCAATTAATTATAGTTTGCATAAACTCTAGATGGGAGCATTATCTGTTACCAAAATGAGCTCCACGTTTGGAGACCGCCAACCATCCTTATTGCAAAATGGTTTCTTATCACATCGGGACCTATTACCTTTGAAGTGCTGTGGAAACCGAAGTAAGCCTTGAAACGGTCCCGTGGAATAAGCACCAATACGAATGTCATGTGCATGCGATAGGCAGCTCCGTAGGGTGGTTATACACTACACTGGGAATAACTTTAAACTAGTACACGTAATAGACTGCTTTAGTTGACGTTTAGAGAAATAGACTTGGGCTGAGACTCAGTGTTGAAAATCTGTTTCTAACTCTCAATACTGAAACCAAAGGAATGTATGGGTCCGTCATTGCGTCAACCACTGTCATACTATTTTTCAGTTGCCATTCCAATTTTGAAAAACACTGTTTTTCTGGCACGAATTTCTACAGGCAGTCTTTCTATGGTCGCTACCCTTATCCTGTCCGTTTCTAATAATCAATAGACCAAAAGGGAAGTGAAAACGTTTATTACGTTTATTTATTATAGTCACTGACAACACGACTAACACAATAGTTTGAACCCCTTTTCTTTGATGTATGACCCTATTGATTATTTTCCTGTTGTTCTGTCGTGTTATTTGTTGTAATTAGCAATTACATCTTCGTTTTACGGCTGTTAATTTGTATGGCGATAGTGCCAAACAGCCAAACATCCCTTTGCATGGTTGTTAGTTTGTTGACTATAAAAATCGCCTTGACAGCCGTGTGCACGTGTACGCATTTTTTGACAGAATACGGACTTTATAATCACAAACCAAATGCAGTCGCAAGTTACGCATTTCTGGTTATGACTCATTAGCAGTGTAATGCTTTTTTGTCCCTGACGAGAGCCAAAACTCCTGGCCCTAAAGTACACATCAAATATTAAAAACTTTTTCCCATGGCAACACGAATGCATCGCATTATTCAAGGCTCCAGTGGTTTCAAATTTTCACCGACCCAGATTGGTCCACCTGCCTTCATTCAATCATAAGTAAATGTATGGAATCTTTTAGTTGCTCAATTTTTCCTAGGGAGTGAAATAATCACCTGATGTTTTATTAATTTGCATAAAACGGACAGGAAAAGAGTCAATTTAAATCCCTTCTTTTCTGTAAAAACCTTGTGAAATTTAGCTTTTTGTTCTGGTTTTATATTCAAAAGACTTATGTAAAACGTAAAAGCAACCATCTATAGGAAAGACAAATTTCGAAGATAAAGGAAATTGAAAGGCATTTTCTCAAACAAATGGTATGGTGAGCATTTTTTTCCTATCTTGCAGGGATTCATGAAAGTTTTCAAATTAGTGTGTATGATTCTATGTGTAATCTTTTCTCTTCCTTTCACTGGTCAATCATACTCCCAGCACTCACACTTGAAGAGCTTCAAGAGACGGAGAATCTTGGCGAATCGCCACCATTTCCTTCTCCACCACCTGCGTTCCAAGATCCCGTCCCGTTGCCTCTTCCTCCCGAGGAAGATGCTATTCCTCAAACGTTTACACCTGTCCAGAACACTGAGGTTCAAACTACCGTATGCGATGCACAAAAAACAACAACAAGAACAACAAAAACAGTTACCACAACAAATCTACCTCCCCCAGTACCACTTCGTCGTTCATCCATGACGGAAGAGGTCGTGGATATCGATCCAATCGGGTCATCAACACAAATGCCCTGGTCCGGTCAACAAAGTAATAAAAATTCCCTACGTTTTCGCTTCCCAAGAATGGCGCGACGAGTTCACTCCATTGTGTCCTCTCACATGCAAGATTCAGTCCAACCTGGAACCAATCTGGAAGATCCGCACAATTTGACACGGCGCTCCTCTAGCCCATCGTTGTTCCCGCTCAAATCCGATGCACTTGTTGCAAAGGAGCAGCTAACCAAATGGGCATCGGGTAAGTCGAAGACCAATAGCTACTGGTGTCAGCGAGAGAGAGAGAGAAGTGACCATTCAGTATAAAGAGATAATACAATTTTCGACATTTCATTACTTTCAGTTCCCGCTAAACGTGTAATTCGAATTACATAAGAATAGGGAGATGGTAGACTACTCAGAGGACTGTGACGTGATGCTGTTGTGAATAGTGGAAGTTGTTGTTGCTGTTGTAGCTCTTGTTTCCACTGCTCCCGCAGATGGTGGTGGCTATTGTGGATTCCGGTGTATATTTACTACGACAGTGGAACACGGTGTAAGGAATACTGAAAGCAAGATAAAATGTGGCCTTCTACAGTAACTGAGAGTTATGATAGAGTTTGAACAGAAAGCGTGGAAGGATAAAACGGGGTTGTTGGGCACATAAAAACTAAATTAAAGATGCAGAGAGACCTATAGTCAATAAATGTCGATTTGCTTATACGGTATCATAAATTGGACCAGTTGATTCACCAGTAAATTACTGGCCTATCAATAAAGAAAATGGGAGGTTTCCAAGAGGACAAACCGTCGATTATGTTCCCTGTAGAGAGGAAACATTTGTGTGCGGGGGGAGGGGGTGTAGTTATTCCATTCTATGCATTTCAGGCTGACGAGCACGATCCAGCAAATTTAGATGCGCGTTGAGAAAAATCAATTGAGATCAATGAGAAGAATACCGCATTACCTTTCATTTAGAGTCACCTAGTAAAAACTAATCAGTTTTTTAACTATACGATAGCTTATTAGTTCAATTTGCTAACCTGATATGTCTAACCTCTTTCTTCACTTCACCTCGGTTGGCTCTTTGAAGAATATACTCCGATTTCATGAAACTCATGAAGTGTCATTGGGATATTTTAATCACATTCCGTTGTGAGGTGAGCACCAGAAGAGGCAAGCCACATACTATTTACGATGAGGGAGATAATGGGTTATTTAGACCTCGGGATCTGGAGGAGTGAGCCACCTAAAGCCCCAGTATGAAAGGATTAATTCCAATCGGTACCACAACAAAGCACTGAACCGCTTAACTTCAAACCCTGGACGCCTAAGGCACGTCAGCATTAGCTACTTAAAAACCGCTTGGTACAAAAGATAAACTCAGTATCAAACGGTCATTTCCTGGGTGCACAATCATTGTCGGAAAGCCGTTCGTTTTTGCAAGAAAATTGTATTATTGTGCATTCAATAAAAAGAAGCAAAATTAAAAAGAAAAGAAATGTTTTTTTGATAGCTTCCTGGAAACTCACCTTCCATTTCGGTGATGTGGTGGCAATTCATGGAACCAACATCACTGTCCACGTGTTTGCTGCGTACTACCTGTTTCCGCATGCCGACTTGACAAGGATTTTCAGGTTTGGTTATTCACTGACCAGTTTGGCTTAACAGCAAAATACTTTCTCGGGGTGTAGCCACCGACATGCTTCATTTTCTTATAACCACAGAGGAGGGTTGAATTATTGATCAACGTCGAATCAGAGGCATATTTCCACAATGAACAAGATAGTCTCATAGCTGAAAGATCAACATCATCTCATCAGATATTCTTGTGGCTTTTCACTGAACATCAGCGGATAGTGATTATCACCCTCAATCCTACTTCGAGGATTCTGCTTCCGGCTAGCTTGGATCACCACGGTTGTTAGCAAATTGGACTCTCAACAGGTATTATACAGGCTTGCTGATAAATCCTGAAAAGTCATGCTCTGAATTTGGGACTTCTCCACACTGAGTGATCACTGACACTTTATATTTTGTATCCAGGTTCTCTAAACTACTACAGCCGAATAGAAAATTTCTCGTGGAGTTTGTATTCAGTATTCAAAATAGAACCAAAATTATTGACTTATTTTTGAATACTTAACTGTGAAGAGCATCGAGATTGAAAATTGCATTCTCCCCATCGTACGAACGGACGTTTTTCACTAACCTGCTCTACTAAAATGAAATAAAAACGAATTCAAGTGAGTGATGGAGGATTTGATTTGATTTCGAAGGTTATTCGTCGTGTATATGGCAAACGAAACGTGAACT